TGTCCTCTCAGGTATTATTTATTGAGCACTGACTATGTGTTAATGCTGAGGATGAAGAAGAGGAAGGAAAAAAGTGCATGCCTTTATAGAACTTCAATTCTATTGGTAGAAGAACAATGCATAAATAAGTGTACAAATGTACAAATAACAGCATTAGGTAGTGATAAGTACTATTAAAAAATAGCAGGGCAAAGGGGTACGGGATCAGAGAGCTAGGAATCATTTGCTCTGAGCCCTGAAGCCAAGGCATGAAGCTTATGAAAGTCTGGGTTTAGTGTTCTAGTGGGAGGAACCGTGGGCCCTGAGAAGGCCAAGTTTCTGGTGTATCAGGAATTGTGGGAGACAGTGTGGCCTTCAGGAGTAACCCAGAAAGAAAAGGATTGAGTAGTGGCCTGGAGCTCAAACAGAGCCTGATAAACCGTGATAAGAGGTATTTTCCTAAGTTCTCCTATTCTTTTTAATTTTTTTTTTCCTTTTAATTGTCAGAGGGCACATGATCTCAACAGAGAAAGAGGAAGAGGAAAAGGGAGAAAGCATTCCCCAGTGATATATGAAATTGCTGTACTCCTTTCCCCCATTTATCCATCCTCTTGGGGTATGCAGCACACATGTACTTACCCTGGCATGTTTTCCAAGCTGTGGGGGCTAAAACTTGAACCACAGTTAGCCATGTGGGATCCAGCTCCCTTAACCACAGGCTGCAGAGCCAGCCCTTTCCCAGTTTTATGGGAAAGTTGTTAGTAACAGGGCAGGAGAGTATGAATGTAATGGAATCTTTTCTTTTTTAGAGGTTTTTGCCTTAGGGTGTGAGCAATCACTGGAGAGAGAGAGAGACAGAGAGACAGAGACAGTGAGAGAAAAAAGTGAGAAATCACCCTCTGGGTGATTTCCATTCTCCTCCTGGGATCTTAGGCATGCACACACATGTGATTTTCAAGCCACCTGATCCGAGACTCAGACCACAGTTGGCCATATGGGAGTCCAGTGACATAACCATGACACCATCTGCTGGCTCTGAATATAGTTGAGTATTAAAGGGGGCCTCTTGGCTATTGTGTGACTACTAGACTACAGGGGACAAAAGGTGGAAAGGGCTCACACTTGGTGGGCTTTTGACTGCAGAACCAATGGGATTCAGATAGTGGAAAGTGCTACAGTAAGCATACTATGATGGAGAGGAGGATTGAAGGAAGAGAATTCTTCTGGGCAGCTGGTACCAAAGCCTCCCTGGGAAGGTGACATTTTAGCTTCTTCATGAATGCTGAGGAATTGCCAACCTTGCAGAGATATCAGGGAGGATGTTTTCAGGTAGAGGGAACAAAAGTTGGAAAGCCCTAAGCCTGGTGTGTGGAAGGAAAGACAGAATAAAGGAGAGCCTAGTAAGCCTGAGATGCTCTGTGGAGAGTGCAGGAAGGGAGGTAAGGTAGAGCAGTGTCGGTTGGGCCCTTAGGAGCTCATCTTGGTATTCTAGGTTTCTCACAGGTCTAGAAGGAGCAGAGGCCCTGCAGCTCTCTACAAGGAGCAGAATATCCCAGTAGTGCTGCTGGAGTCTCTGTGGTGTGTTGGCACCGGCTGTTTTATACAGTTCAACATTCTCCAACATGAGAGGAAAGGTGACCACATTGAGGCACACTCCAGTAGAGAATGCCCCTCTGGAAAGTGTTATAGTTCACAATTTTGAAATGTCTAAGGCCTTTCATACAGCAAAACTATTTCTATGAATCTAGTCTGAAGAAACAAATAATACTGGGACCAGCAGATGTCAAAATGGTTCCGTCAATGACTCCCATGTAGTTGGTCATGGTTCGAGTCCTGAACCCAGCTACTTAAAACTCATGCTGGGGACATGTGCATGCATGCCCAAGATCCCAAGAGGAGAATGGAGGAGAAGGGACTGTGGCGTGGCCATCCCCCAGGGGCTGATTTCTTGCTTTCTGTATCTCTCTGTCTCTCCAGCAAGTGCACACACCCTATAGCAAAAACCTCTCTCTAAAAAAAAGAAAAGAATTAACAATACTTCTATATAAAATTTTACTGTTGTGTTGATGACAATAGCAGAAACAGCAATAAAAAACCTAGAACTAATCTGAGGAAAGTCCATAGACTGGGAAAGGAATTAAGTAAATTATGGCACATGTAGAAGTGGACTTATATTTGGCTATTAAAAATAATGTATTGGAGTTGTATTGTGGACTTAGGAAAAATATCCGCAATACCTTTAGTCATAGACTGGTTTATAGAAAAAATATGTAAATAGAATGAAAATAAAATTGGGCCAGTAAGTGGTGTTGTGGTTAAGAACGTGGATCCCATATCACTAACTGTGGGGTTTGAGTCCCAGACCAGGGGCTTGAAAAACACTACCAGTGCATGGACATGCCCAAAATTCCAAGAGAAAAATGGAGGAAAGGGGATTGTGGTGTGGCCATCCTCCCTGGGATGCTCTTTGTCACTCTTCTCCACCCTGTCTCTGGTGGGTGCACACACTCTATTACAAACTCAAAAATTGGTGATTTAAAAAATTTATTATGGGAGAATAGAAATGTTTTCAACCTTGTTTATGGTGGTGGTTTCCTAGGTGTATACAACTGTCCAAATTCATGGAGTTACACTTTAAGTGATTGCAGCTGTTGATAAGTTATTTCTCCTGGGCCAGTAAGTGGTGTTGTGGTTAAGAACGTGGATCCCATATCACTAACTGTGGGGTTTGAGTCCCAGACCAGGGGCTTGAAAAACACTACCAGTGCATGGACATGCCCAAAATTCCAAGAGAAAAATGGAGGAAAGGGGATTGTGGTGTGGCCATCCTCCCTGGGATGCTCTTTGTCACTCTTCTCCACCCTGTCTCTGGTGGGTGCACACACTCTATTACAAACTCAAAAATTGGTGATTTAAAAAATTTATTATGGGAGAATAGAAATGTTTTCAACCTTGTTTATGGTGGTGGTTTCCTAGGTGTATACAACTGTCCAAATTCATGGAGTTACACTTTAAGTGATTGCAGCTGTTGATAAGTTATTTCTCCATAAAACTGAAAAAATATTCTATTGCAAAATAAAAGAAAACTATCATCAGTCATCTATTTGTCTAGCCTTCCCCACTTCCTTCCTCCCCTCCATTCATCCCTTTAACTATACTTAAGTATGTTTGTGTATGCAAAGGATAAAATATAGAAAGATACAGTGGTTACATATCGAGTTTGGAGAAGTCAACACCCAATAAATTCTATTATCCTACAGCATCCTCAGCCCTGACCCCTTGTCCAGGCAAAATGTCTTAATGTAAATATACACATTTATAGTCTACAGAGCAGATCTAGGTAAATATTTGGCTAAGTAAAGAAAATACCTCTCATGTCACTTTTGCATTTTTTTGTGCATGTGGGCGTGGAAAGAGGTGAGAAGCAGAGAGGGCATTTTCCCCAGCACGATGATTGTCGGCTAAGATGAAAGTGCCCATCAGGTCATTAATAAAAGATCATTATCCCTTTGCAGCCTATCTTGGAACAGAGTGGAAAAACCAGATCTTTGAGGTCATAAATACCTAGATTTTAATTTCACCTTGTCCCTTTCTGGTAGAGCAAGTTCTGTGTGGCTTTCCAAAATTAATCTGCACAGTATTCACATTCCTCAAATACAAACAATAACCCCCACAGGGTTGTAGTAAAGATTAAGCCAGAGGAAACGCTCATAGCGCTTTCTACATTGTAGAATGTCAACAGTGATGCCGTTTTCTACTGTAGAGAAAAGGATGGAGAGATCTCTTTCTGAAGATTGGTAAGTTCAGTGTGCTTGTTTACATGGCTGGCCTAGATATTGCTTGTTAAAAGGATCAAATTCAAGGACAGGATTGCTAGCCAAGTGGTTGAGGACTCTAATCTTCATGGCTGAGGACAGTTCAAATCCTGCCCTGGCGTCTTGATAAGCATACCAGACGCACATGGCATCCATGTCCCAAATCCTGATTGGACAGTGAAATGGAGGAGATTGCAGCATGACCATGCCTCACCAGGGTGTGCTTTTTCCCTCAACTTCTCTCTCCATGTTTCTCTGGCAAGCTCGTGTGTCTTCTGTGAATACACACACACACACACACACGCACGCACACATTTTTTTTTTAGAGGTCTGGATCAGCAGGTAGTGTGGTAGTTAAGGTGCTGGACTCCAACATGGTCAATTGTGGCTTGAGTCTCAGACCAGGTGGCTTGCTTTCTCACTTTCCCCCCAGCCCCTCTCTCTGTTGCATTCATGTGCCCTATAGCAAATTTTAAAATAACAATAGATAAAATTAAATAATTCTTGGGGAAAAAAACCCCTAATTCCTCCCAGTATACAAAACTTTGTGATATGGTAAGCTTTTTTTTTTTCTTTAATTTTTTTTTTAATTTGGTAAGATTTTTTTATTTTTAAAGAATTATTTATTTACTTTTATTTATTCATTCATTTATTTTAATTTGACCAAGAGAGACACAGAGAGTGAGAGACTGTTAGGGAAAGTGAGAAAGCAAGTTAACAGGTCCAGGACTCGAACCATTGTTGGCCATGTGGAAGTGTCCAGCGCCTTAACCACCACTCCACCTGCTGGCCCCTATTTGGTAAGCTTTTTTTCTTTTTTCTTTTGGAGAGGATTTTGCTATAGGGCGCATGCACTTGCCAGAAAGACAGAGAGAGACAGAGAGACAGAAAGTGAGAAATCACCCCCAGGGAGGATGGCCACACCTCAATCCCGTCTCCATTCTCCTCTCGGGATCTTGGGCACACATGTGTGCCCAGCATGAGTGTAAGCCACCAGGTTCAGGACGAACTGTGGTTGGCTACATTGGAATCCAGTGACATAGCCATTATACCAACTGCTGGTTCCTATTTGGTAAGCTTTTAAAAATAGATTCTGTGATGACTACTGTATGCTCTCCTATATCCCAGTGGAATCATATACATATACACTCTTTGTCATGAGTGTAATTCTCTGACGTTTATTGTGCTGGGTTTAAAGGTAGCCCGGTACTTGCTTCACCAACACATATACTAAAATCAGAATGATACAGAGAGGATTAGCATGGCCCTTGCACAAAGATGACACACAAATTCGTGAAACGGTCCAAAATAAAATAAAATAGGCAGCCAGAACTGCTTCCCCTAGATTCTCTCGCGTCCAGTGAAATTGCTCAGGTGAAATGATTCTCACGGATGTTCACGGCTACTAGAAGAATGACTTTCCCCAAATGGCTTCTCAGACTTGATGGTAGTGTGGTCAGTTACCGTCCATATAACAACATTGCTTTCTTTTGGGTGAAAAGCAGAAGAGATTAAATTGCCCTTTGGTGCTGTCAGATGGTATTTGAAATTAATCCTTGTGCTGAGAGATGCTGGGAGTAAGAAAGAACTCTGTGAAGGATGTCCCTGTGTCCTCTAGTGCGGGGGTAAACTTTGCAGCAAGACGTGGCCTTTCTTGCATTTACTCTATCAGTGTAGTAGGAAGTGCACAGACTCCTGAGTCTCGGTTTCCCTTTACAGTGGCTGTGAGATTATTATTCTGGGTCCCAGCTATATACCTGTAAATCGGAGATAGTACTTTTATATCTGTCTAATGGTAGAAGTGTAACAAAGCCGTCTTCCCAATTTTAAATTTTATTATACCTAGCTTTATACTTTTCTGATTTTCTTGCCAGCATCTCTCTGATCGTTTCATCCTTTATATATAGACAACTCTAGATATCTAATCATCACCCAATAATGAGATGTAGAGAATTGAGCCCAGCATTTTATGTAAAAGAAAACAACTAGCCATGTACTCTCAAACTTTTAGTAGGAAGAAATTAGGGTGCCGTCATATGTATCTCTTCATACTGCTGATACCTGAGATAAGAACCAAGGATAAGAGCTCACGAAGGGAAGGGAGAAAGAATAGCTTCAGATGTGGACGTACCAACTTTTTTTTTTTTTTTGAGAAGTTTTTTGTTTTTTGCTATATGGCACGTGAGTTCACCAGAAAGACAGAGAAAGACAGAGAGACAGAAAGTGAGAAATCACTCCCCAGGGGGGATGGCCACGCCACAATCCCTTCTCCTCATTCTCCTCTTGGGATCTTGGGCACACAAGCACACGCACCCAGCGTGAGTTTAAACCACTGGGTCCGGGACTCGAACCACAGTCAACTACATGGGAGTCCAGTGACATAGCCATTAAGCTAACTGCTAGTCCCTGGACATACCAACTTTGAGATGATCATCTGATACCCATTTTATAATCATTTAGCTCTAAGTGTTCCCAGCCGCGTTAATATTTAGCTTTAGTAATATCAACATCCAGATGGTTAAAAACATGGGGTGGATTTAATCCCTCAGAAAAAGTGCATTGAGCAGAATAGGAATTGTCAAGAGAAGATTGTGCTTGGAAGTTGGGTGATTGTACTTGACTCCAGTGAAGGAGGTAGAGAAATACTGCCAGAGAGTAGGAAGAAGACAAATAGCATTCAGTGTCATGAGGAAAAAAGAAATGTTCCATGGGGACCAGCAGATGGCATAATGGTTATGTCTCTGGACTCCCACATAGTTGACCATAGTTTGAGTCCTGTACCCAGCAGCTTAAAACTCATTCAGGGTGAGTGTGTGTGGATATGCCCAAAGATGAGAATGGAGAAGGGATTGTGGTGTGGCCAACCTCGTGGGGGGTGATTTATCACTTTCTCTGTCTCTGTCTCTCTGTTGAGTACATGTGGCCTGTAGCAAAAATCTCTCAAGAAAAAAAGAAAAGGAAAGAAAAAGAAAGACTCATGGAGAGAGAAGGGCATGATCAGTAATATTGAGTAGAGCATGGGAATCTAGCAAGGTAAGGATCAAAAACTGCCCATTGATTCTGGATATTAGGTCATCAGTGATTTTAGGATAAAAAGTTTCAACAATAGAATGGGCAGAGCACATTTTAGTTGATTAAAGAATAAAGGAGAGAAAGAAAAGACGGAATGAGGGACCAGCAGTTAGCGTAATGGCTATGTCGCTGGACTCCCATGCAGTTGACCATGGTTCGCATCCCGGACCCGGTGGCTTAAAACTCATGCCAGGCGCGTGTGTGTGTGTCTCCAAGAAACCCAGAGGAGAATGGAGGAGAAGGGATTGTGGTGTGGCCATCCCCCCTGGGGGGTGATTTCTCACTTTCTGTCTCTCTGTCTCTGTCTGTCTGGTGAGCACACGCGCCCTATAGCAAAAAACAAACAAACAAAAAAACCTCTCCACAAAAAAAAAAAAAAGAAAGAAAGAAAAGGCTGAATGATATGATATGGAAAGAGGTGGCAGTTGTGAGACTCACTTTTTATTTTTTCCAGAGTGGCTTTTTGAGCTTATGTGAAGGCCCGAGGGAAAGAAGCACAGTGAGGGAAGATGGAGGCCAAGCAAGTCATGGGTGTAGTAATTCATTACAAAAGGGAAAGGGAAAACCTGTTCTTTTGTGATAAAAGAATTTTGGTTCAGGTTCTCCAAGAAGATGTGATTAGATACGTAAGAAATTTATTGGGGAAAATACTTATGAAGGATAAAGAGGAGGGAGCAAGTGAAAGTGGGAAATCCTTCAGACCCCCGTTTATGAAAATGAAGGAAAAAGAAGGAGGAACACGGAGAAAGTATTTCTAACATAACAGTTCCAAGGAAGTTTTGGTTGGGACTGTGGAGTAGAAAAGTTTCACAGAAATGAACTCATAAGCAACCCCTCCATACTCAGTTCCTGGCTGGGATTTTATGTGGGCCTGAAAGATACAGAAGAGGACCCAGAGAGAAATGACTAGAGTCACCAGCTGTCATGTTTGCTGCCACAGATCTAAGATGTGTGTTTTCACGGTAACACACTGACATAACTGTGACCATCTTTGCACATCGAGGAATGAGAAAACCAGCAAGATAGGAGAGTTTCCAGCTGGTATTCTTATTTTTCTTCAAAGTATGACATATTGGGTTGTCAGAAGTCATGATGCATTTTTGCATAGAAAAACATAGAAAAATACGACTTTTCTGACGACCCAGTGATATGGTTCAACCTGGCTAGGATGACAAAAAAGAGCAGAATAGAGGGAGGGACTTGTGGCGAAGGTTTTTTATATCAGAAACTGCAGGAAGATACAAGATTTTCAGTCACACAGGTCTCATTAAGAATAGAAACTGCAACTGTGGTTTGAGTCCCAGATCTGGTGGCTTGAAATTCCTACCAGGTGCATTTGTGTGTGCCAGGATCCAGGGAAAAGAATGGAGGAGAGAGGATTCAGCATGGCCATCCTCCTGGGGGGTGGGGTGATTGCTCACTTTCCTTCTCACTGTCTCTCTCTCAGTTACACACATGTGCCCTAAGGCAAAAACCTCTATCAAAAACAAAACAAAACAAAACAAAAAAACAAGTACCCAGAAACTGTAATGGTCTGTGATGTGGACTGGCACTGAAAAGGCATGATTGTGGTTTTCCTCTAGAGAAATGAAGTAAGGGATTAGAGAAGTTTGATGTTATGATTGATCTCTTTACTCTTAGTGACTCCCCTGGTTCTAAGACTGCTCAGTTTAATCATTTTTTCCTTTCTTTTTTACATTAAATCACTATATATCTTTTTTTGTTTGTTTTTTGTTTTTGTTTTTGCTATAGGACGCGTGTGCTGGCCAGAGAGACAGAGAGAGACAGAGAGAGAAATCACCCCCCAGGGGGGATGGCCACGCCACAATCCCTTCTCCTCCATTCTCCTCTCGGGATCTTGGGCACACATGCACACATGCCGGGTGTGAATTTTACGCCACCGCGTCCGGGACTCAAACCACGGTCGACTTCATGAGAGTCCAGCGACATAGCCATTACACTAACTGCTGGTCCCAAATCACTGTATATCTTTACACAGCATACAAAATCAATCTTCTCAGCACAAATACACTGCATATTAGTCCAGTCAAAGATTTACCATATGCATCATCATCAACAGATAATTTTCCACTTCTGTGTCTGTTAAATGTTGTGGGTTTTCCCCCCTTGATTCTCTCCCTTCCACTCACCCTCCCATTGCCTATCCTCCTCCCACACTGTCTCTAGTGTCCACAGTTGCTCTCCATGCCTTATACCTTCCAGTCTTTCAGTTTCTGCCATAGAGTGCAGACATTTGGCATATATTAAGTGGGGACACACTTCTCTTTCAGTCTGACTTGCTTCACTCAACATTAATCTTCCATATTCATCCACTGTCTATCAAATGCCAAGGTCTCATTATTAAACGGCTGAGTAGTATTCCATAGTGTATATGTGCCACACTTCTTCAGTCCATTCCTCTGTTCGCCATGTATGAAACAGAGAGGGAGTTTATGGGGGCGAGGTTCTGCCAACAAGGAATGTTTAGCTTAGTAACAGCAATACCCCTACAATAGGTCATATAAGAGAAGCACAAATGAAGTCTGTAGGACTTCAAGGAGAGGTAAAGAGTACCTGGGTGATTTAGTCAAGGAGGCAGATGTCAAAAACTAAACAAAACAAAACAAAACCTAAAACTAAAACAAAAACTTTTGTGGAGGTAGCTTTTTGGGACTTATGATTATGACAGGTTTATTATCTTCCATGTCTGAAATATTTGCAGTACCAGGCATAAACCATTCTCCTTCTTTTTAGTCTCTTATTCAGGGTCTTCACCTGGGCTGAATGGTGACCACCGCATGCATATGTTGTTAATTAACTGCTAGGTCACTCTCCTAATCTCCTCTCTTGTATGCTTGATTATAAACCCAACCAAGTAAATTATGTTGTTCATATCCTCCAGGAGCTTTTGGAGATTTCTCCCTTACTACCCAAGCATAACTGATGCTATTGCATTTTGCAATTTTTTCCACCAATTTCCAGAGAATGTTTGAGTTTTCTAAAGATAGAGAGGCAGAGAAAAAGAATAAAAGAATACCCCTTAATGGAGCGTGGTCATGCCACAATATTCTATTCTAGTTGGGATTCTGGGCACATATGAATAAGTGCCTAGAATGGTTTTCATGCTGACAGAGTGGGATTTGAGCCACAGTCATTGGAATCTGGCTCTCGTTAATCACTAGGCGATAGGATAAAATGAATTTTTTCACATTTGTGAAAATGTCCACATTTGTACAATGCC